TGATTAGTCCTTAGTTATTTGATAACTTCATATTGTCACGTATGGGATGGTATGCGCGGCTAAAATGACGGGTTCTAGTTCGGATGATTGAATTTATTAGCACTTTAGTTACAATCTCTCTTAATCACACTTATTTACAGCACTATCGCTGATTTACATACACTTCATAATTCACTAAAACACTTAAACACTCTGAAATACTCTTGACATACTCCCATCTGCTCTATCTCTAACTGTCGTGATATAGCCTTCGCACCGACCCTAGAAAACAAGTCACGTAATTTTACTGTTGCAATGAGACTTCATTGCGCCTGCGCGAAAGTCTGTTTACTGAGCCGTTGCCTAAAAGCGTGTTGCGAAACCTCTTTGTTCCATTGTTCCGAGCGTATATCGCGTGTATTTACCGGCCCGTTACCTAGCAACGCTCTGGCCAGCCACGTTACAATATACGTACATATAAATAATTGCCGAAGAATTCCTGTACTCGAGTCTGTGGGTTCGCACATATGTCAAATAAACAATTGAACTGTAATATGATGGTTTATACATTTCCAGCAAAGATAAACAGCCAGACGGGCAGAGAGTCAGAATAAAAACGACAATCTTTTAACACCAAGGACGAGGGTAAAGTTTTGGACTTTCCTGCTGAAGATGCAGGAACCCAAGTGCGGCTATGCAGTTACTGCACGCTTCTTAGAGTAAACAAAATCTGCCATAACATCAAGTTTACGTCATGCTATTTCCTTATTCTAATTTTCCTGGCCAATCAGTATGCTGTATTACGTCATAAAATGTAAATATTATGAGAAATGAGCCAAAATAACATACATAATCGTACATGTTAAGTTTTTACTAAAACACTGAGTATCGCAAAAATCGGATAATCTAAAATGTTCTTTCGTGTTAGAGGTTATGATCAGATTTAAACCTGCCAATCAATTTGTAGAGCCAATCACAGTGGCCTCGCTCTGAGGCATGAACCGTCTTAGCTCGCTCAAACACTGGGATCGTGGTTTCGAATCCCACTCAAAACATGGATGTCTGTATGCGTTTATTCTGTGTTTGTGTTGTTCTGTGTGTAAGTAGCGGCCTTGCGACGGGCTTATCCCCCGTCCAAGGAGTCCTACTGATTGTGTGTAGGATTAAGAAAGTGAAAAGGCGGCCGAGGTCCAACAGAAAGGGCTGTAGAGCCATAGATAGATAGATACATGGACAGATGGATAGGTAGGTAGGTAGATAGCACTTGTAGAACTTACCACAGTATTATAAGTTGTGTATTGAGCATGGAAGGTCTCATTCCGAATAATTTTTGTAAATTCAGTAATAATAAAGATATTTATAACGTATTTAGTATATATTTTATTAATCAGTTAACTGGCTTTTGGGTCATTCTGTATATCTTTAGCATTACTTCCATACTACGTAACGAAATAAGGCTTATAATCACCCACAACTATGTGTATGGCCATTCGCTCCATCTTCCTATTGTACCGAAAGTAAATCTGATTATGTACATCTATATTTCAATAAGTACAACTCCATGGGCCAAGGCTCTGTTTCAGAAGTTCAATATCTTTTTCTTTTTTATTGCTAGTGGGGTGGGACTAAGTCCCTTGTATTGTGGCCACTTCTGGCCTATTGTACCAGCCCCAGATGATAGGTGAGGGTGATTGTGGAGCAATTTGTGGAATGAAGATTGGCAGGGGAAACCGAAGTACTCGGAGAAAACCTGTCCTAGCGCCACTTTGTCCACCACAAATCCCACTTGACCAGATCCGGGACCGAACCAGGGCCGCCGCGGTGGGAATCCAGCGACTAACAACTTGAGCTATGGCGGGGCCTAAGTTGAGTATCAGTCGATCTGTAGGTAAAAAAATCCCCACCTTCTATGAAACCCCAATCTGTATGATCATGCTGATATTGTACAACCATTGGATCTTACAGAGACCCAATTAAATCCAGTCCGCGTTATCACACTCTGTTTCTTTCGTAACCACTTTAATATTTCTGCCTGATCTCAACTTAGGTATATACAGTCTCATGATTTTCCAATTTGCAACGCGTGTCCTTTTCCTTTTGCTTAGATGGTAACAAAATCCGTCCGCATCAGAGGCGTTTTGTGACATTTAGCACCTTACGTTGGAAAAACACCATACCGGTATTCAAAATACCAAGCAATTCCATCATGTTTTGGAGCCCTGAAGTCCAAGACCGTCTTTCCAAATGCTTATTTAAATGACACCCATTTTAATATTACCCTTTCATTGACGTGTTTATCCTACGAATAGTCTTTACCTCTGTGGTTTGCAATTCCGAAAATATTTCGACGGGAACTGAACTCTCAGTACGACGATAATAATTATCTTATAGTGTCTGGTGACTGATAATAATGGGTTTTCGATTACATGAATAGATTTATTTGACACTCGCAGGCCGTAACTACAAAATAATTATAAGACTCTAAAGATTACTGTAACTATAACACACAAAATAAAGTCTTCAACATCTGCTTACTAGCCGTTGCTTGGTAACGAATCTTATGTGGTTAAGACTTCAAATACTGAACTGCAATAAAGAAAGACTTTCTGACTGCCTTCAACTACGTCTCTCTCTCTCTCTCTTTCTAACGAATTCACGAATCCACTGCCTTTTTTATAACTGCCACGCGACCCTTGTACGAAGTCGTGGAAGTCACCATGTCTTACAGTTCCTCTGGTCTTCTCTGTTCCATCCGTTGCCAAGAAACGTGTCTCAATCTCGGGGCAACGCTTTTGATTCCTCCAAGCGTGTTCGTCGCCACGAAACGTGTTCTAATAATCTCTTGTCTAGCAATGGGTTATTTCGTCACATTATGTTATGCATTGTTTAATTACCACTGTACTTCATTTTCAAATTACTGCTTTTATTCAGTCAGTGTTTATTTTCGTCTTCATTTCTTTGTCTTTCTTCCTTTCTTTCCTTCTTCCCGCCTTCCTTCTAGTCTCTCTCATCCTCTTAGCAGTTCAGTATTCGTGTCAGGCTCAGAGGCCGCTTTTCATTACGTACGTTTACATTCCTACACTTGCAACGCCACTAAACACCAGATGTCTCTACTCACAGGATGCACTGTTGTCTCCGAAATTTCTGACGCTGCATGTGGCTTTGTTTCTGCGGTGTAGCAGTTATCTCACACAAAGAAGTGTCGTGTCATTTGGAGGCAGTGCACCACGATAATTGAATGGAATAGAAATCAAAGTAAACATTTCTAATGTTGATAAGAAGCAAATGACCCCGCTGCTCGTGATAAGATTTCATCATTTATGTGCTCCTGATCAGCGAATGTTCTTAAGTACGACAAAGGGCCTCGTTTGTTTCAAGGGAACATAACATCCCACGCCATTTCAACGCCTCTGTTTGCGTAACAAGTCGAAACTAGTTTCAGGAAACATCGTTATGACATATTTAAAAGATTAAGTACATAGAATAAATATATATAATTTCGTGACTTACCTGGTTTCGTGGTATGACACTAATCTCAAAGAGAATTAAAACGTCGGGCCGCGAAATAAGGGAGACACACAGCAGAACACAATAGGAAAAACAACCCATCACTTGGAATATGCATGCGCACAGAAGGGACCATACATTAGTAACCAAAGCCACGATAACAGAAGCACAGCAGTTTCCTCAACTGTAATTTTAAACTCCCGATGATGACCTTATTGGTCGAAACATGTAGCGAAAAATTTTTAGAAGTTAAGGGCTAAGGCACATCAAGGAAACTGGCAACCGCAATTTCCGAGAATTGTTATCAGTCTGAGTTGAACACATGTTACTGAATGGAGCAGCGCAAATTGCTGTCAACTACATCGCCTTTTCCTCAATTTGCGCTGCTCCATGCAGTAACATGTGTTCAACAATTCTCGGAAATTGGGGTTGCTAGATTCCTTGGTGTGCCCTCACCCTGAAAGTTATGTGATTTGTACAACTTTTTAAGGTGAATAATAACTCAGTGAGTTTTGTAGAAAGACGTGTTGCACGTGAGACGGGGGAACCAACAACATTTGCTACTAAGAAATGCAGATACCGTAAAATACGGTCTTCTGGGTTATAACACCAAGTAGTTCGGAGAGAGCCTTTTGTTGCGGATGAATACATCACCTCCTCCTTGAGGGTCGAAGAATGAAACACTAGACCGGCAGACCGAAATTAACGACCGTGGGGATTCGTTGCGCTAACCACGCGACACCCTCTATCCGCAAAAGTTGGCACTAACTTCGCCTACAAGCGGCGGTCGCTCGGTCGGTATAGTTCGCTTGCGGACTACAGGCCACGGAGTTTGTTTTGTTTTCATTCCTCGCCTTTCTCTCCTTTGTCTTGTTTTTCTTATTTTTCTCCGTATTCCTTATTAGTCTACATTTTTCCTTTTCTTCTTGTTCTTCCCTTATTGTTGTTTTCTTTTTCTCTCCCATCATCACCTGATGTATCTTCTTCAACTTCTTATACGTGTTGTTCTCCTGGTACCCTTCTATACGTGGTTTTACTCCTGAATCTTCTCTTACTTTACATACTTGTAAGGTCTGTCACATCACAAATTATCAGGGTCCTTCTTCACAGACGATAGTGTTGAACAGAATTTCATATGACTCTCATGTTGGTATTACTGATTTCTGAGAACAATTCTCAGTGTTCAGGTACTGAAAAAGCTGCCGTCAGCAGCATTATGCCACGTGATATAACCGTCAAACTGTTAAAAAAATATATTGCTGAGTCTTATTTATTGCCATTCGAAGTCGATTAGTCTGAGTGACTGGCAGAGCTATTAAATAAACCACACGAGTAAGCGCAGTAAAAGTTAGAGCTGCTGGCAATTTCGTTGCTAGACGAATCGCGATAAACTTTTCAAGAATTATCCCAGACTATGGTACTGGTTAAAATACTATATATTGGAATATGCATTTCTGAACTTGTTTATCGTTCAGACTTCTAGGAAAGTTGTGTTGCAGTAAGAATAATGAAATACAGCGCTTGTGTCTGACACATCCATCCATAAAGATAACTTCAGTTGTGATAAGATTAGCGGCAATGTTGGCTCGCACCTTGTCTCATTGCAGATACCGAAGTTTCTCGTAGCAAATTTTGAAACGCGACAGAAAAGAAATGGAGCATTCATATATAACTTCTGTGGTGAAATTAATTCGGAATAAATGATTATCAGAAATACTTAAATAAAACTCAGTCTCACCAGAAAATAATTTATACCCAGGTAAGTGTTTGTTTATAATAATTCAGTTGAGTGATATAATATTATGACAGATACAGATTAAAGTAAGTAATTATTATACTTACTGTGAAAACTATATCATTACTTTATAGGCCTAATTAATCTTTTCAGAAGTTATTTATGTGATATTATAAAACTCCGATTTACTGTGATCCAGTGCTGAAAACAGAAACCGAAATAATGTAAGTGTAAATTAAATGAAAAATTAATGAATAATTTTACACAAAAATAGAATGGTTTAAGTAATTTTTAAATAAGTTCTTGTGATTTTACAATACCCATTTGTCTCGTTATTTATTATATATCAATCTACGTGAACTAAATCTGATACAGCTCATGCGCAGTGTAGAAGTAGAATGATTCCTGAGAATCTAATACTCGCTCAGCTATTCAAGAAAATTAATATCTTTAATGAAACACGCTATCTTTCTCAAAAGGTCCCGCCAATATACACGTACTCTATCAGTATCCACTTGAACCTCATCCAAAATCTCACACCATATGTCTTTTAGAGACAGTTAAAATTATTCAATCGTCTGCACCTAGACCCCTTCTTAGTATAGACTCTATATTTCATTGCTAGAAAAAGTTATCAAAATATTACACTTCATAAATGCATTATTAATTGTTTATTCATTTGAGAGTTTACAGTGTCAGTATAGTGCGATTTCTTAGCTTTAAATCTTAATCAGATGTGCATTTTGTGTTCTGTACTTGACGTTTTGTAGCATGAGCTGTTTATGAGAAATGACACAAAATTTGATTTTAGCTTCAAAGTAGGCCTGCAAACTTTGAATATGATTATATTTTAATAATCCTTTAGGTCGTAATGAAATGAAACATAGGTATCGACAGACAGACATAAATATATGGACCTTCACATTATTAATTGACTTCATGCTGAGATACTGCACAAAAGTAGTTAGAAAATACAAACACGCAGATACATGTGCCAGGGAAGTTTAATTTATGTCGTTGTCTCCCTTAAAGTTACAGTGACCAATGGCAAATACTAATTGTCGTTTGACACCGTCATCTGTGAGCCGACTGTCTAGAAAATGTAGGAGCCTCGACGTCTCACAACCCTATGGGCCTTCACGGCCTCTTATAGGGATAGCATTACCTTTACATGTGACACATGAGGAATAAAAACTTGCTTACTTATGGAGCTGAGCCCTTCTTGAGGAGAAGCCAAATCTGTAGCCACTCAAGAATTTGCCAGTATTTTATGGAACCCGAAGGTTCATTACAGTGTTCACAGCAGTCCTCCACCGGTTTCTATCCTGAGCCAGATCAATGCATCCTATCTCTCTAAGATCTATTTTAATATTGTCCACCCACCTACGCCTTGTTCTTCCCAGTGGTCTCTTTCCTTCTGGCTTTCCCACAAATATCCCATATGCGTTCCTCTTCTCCAGAATTCGTGTTACATGTCCTGCCCACCTCATCATCCTTGACTTCGTCATTCTAATTATACTTGGAGAAGAGTACAAGTTAGAATAAGAACTCACAACATAAATTTGAATTTAAAAGTAGGCTTGGCAGCAATGAAACTTATGCTTCAACAGACATAAAACATAACCTTCCTATTATGAATTGACTTTAGTAGAAGCACACAGTGACACGTGCTTGGACAGTTGCTAACACCAACTGGCATATGACACATAAAGATTAGGGTAAAAAAAAAGTAAAGCTATCCCTCTAACAGGTCGTGAAGGCCAATAGGGTTGTGAGACGTTGAGGGCCCCACATTATCTAGACAATCGGCTCACAGATGGCGGTGAGGTTTTCAGCCTTACGCACCGGCCGCGTTTTACTTCCCAGGAAAATTATTTAATTAATTCCTGGTACTCATTTCTGTTAGAGGCTGAGTCGACCCCAGGACCATAGTGCGTCTGGAAGGATTAGGTGAATTGAAAAAAATCCAATGACCTCATCGGGCCTTGAACCCGCGACCTTCCGGCTTGTAGCTACCGCGCGCCCCACATAAAGATTATAAACTCTCAAAATGAATATGATTCTCAGACATTGAAATACAAACATAAGGATTATGATCTTACAGTTTGTTTTATATGAAATTGGAACTGCCGCTCTCACTGTAAAGGAAGAAAATATGTCGAAAGTGTTCGAGGACAAGCTATCAGCAGAAAATTTTGATCTAAAAGAGAGGAAGGCTGAGCAAGTTGACATAATGGTGACGCTCTAGACTTCTCTTCGGACGGTGCCTGGTTTGAATCTCTGCTGGAATATCGGTTATCCACACTGAGGTCTTCTTAACTTTCCTCAGTCACTCCATACAATGCAAGGACGAAGAAGCAAAGGAAGCTCAGATCAGTGGGGCATGTATAGGTTCTGTGTCAAGAGGTAAAAATAAACTGTAATTAAAAAACTTGAAGTAAATAGATAAATTGGGAGACCTAAAAATAGATGACATTTCTATTAAAATGTATCTGAAGAGAATATGTGGAATCGATAGAACTGGCGCAGATGAGGCTTTTTGGAACACTGTAAAGAAGCTTTTAGGTACATAAAAACAAATAATTTCTTGACTTAGATGACCGTCGCTTTCTCAAGGACTCACAAGCATACATTTAGTAAGGCAGATAACTCTCGGATTATTTTAATTAGTATAAGCCATGCCGACAGGTCTCTTTATTATATTACATAAAGTATATTCCCCTCGAAAGGCGCTTTATAACAGACTTACGCTGAATCTGAGGATATGTTGTGTTTCCAAGGATCCAGAGCCATGATTGGTCCTGAGGCTCTCATGCATGGCACCGAGGTGCTGGACAAAGACTTCAGAGCTCCTGTAAGACTGCAGGCGAAGGAACTTCATTGTGGTCTAGGAATGAATGGCTTCTACTGCAAGCCTGCCTGGCTACAAAAATATGCCACTCATAGGGTGTTTGTGGCAGTGTTGGCAGCATTCGGGTTTCTCCAAGGAGCGGCTATGGGTTACTTCATCGCTACTACCAATGCTGTGGCCAGCAGTTTTGGGTTCTCACATGACCTAGTCAGTACGTACATCTTACGAGTTCTTGTTAGTGATTATGTACAGGAGAATGGATAAGATAACGCAAGGAGGATATTTCATATTTTCTACTCTTCATCAAGTCAAGTGATCAAGTCAAGGAGGATGGTAAATGTGGGACATGTACCACGCGTGGGAGAGATGAGAAGGTAACATTCATTGGAAAAGATCATGAAGGAAGTACTGGTTTTGGAGATAAGGCATAGGCAGGAATGTGATAAAAATGAGCCATAAAGAAGTAGATTATAATGATAACTGAATTCATCTGGCTCAGGATAGACTCAGATGCAACGTGTAATGAATAAGAAGTAGGTAATTTCTTGACCACCTGCTCGATTATCAGTTCCTGAAAAAGGACTCTGTAGAATGCTCGATCATCAGGAATAAGGCCATGACGACAGAGTCATGGATGAATAATCTTCAGGTCTGATGTACTGTCACATTCGTCGTGAAGTATAAATTACTACCAAAATTCTGTAAAAATTTGATTTATACCCCCCCCACGGTAGGAGCCGAAGTAGCTCAGCCGGGGTAGGGACTGGACAGATTAGCGGGGTTCGATTTCCGATAGAGACAGATTTCTCACTCCTTAAGAGCGTCTTGACCGGCTCTGGGGCCCAAGCGGCCGAGCCGTGAAACTGATCACTCATCTCCATCTAGTGTCGAAGTCGAGAATAATGGAGCCATACCTCCATTCCCCTCTATGTCTTCATGTCATGGTGCTTAATTAATTGAGCACAGGACCGATTTGCCTTTTACGTTATGCTGTTTAGTATATAGTCAGTTAAAGAAAACCTGTCAAGATGAATTGATTTCAGCGGTATTTACTTTTCACGGTCAGGATCCCCTTATGGAGTTAGCCGGTTTAGATAACTTTTCAGCATGTGAGGTCCCGGTTCACAGCTGATCTGTTTGCTCTGTGTTGTGTTTCATGGAGGCTTCGACTTAATGGCGTTTCTGTTGCGATTCTAATCTGTCGCGCCTCCTCTGCGCTCTGAGCCGCTCTTTCCCAAACTCATTACTCCTGTGGCGGCGTTTGTGAAGCTTCTGAAATCAGAACGGCGGCAAGCTGAGATGTGTAAAGTACCCCTCAGGTGAAACGTAGTGTTGGGTTATTTAGCCATTTATGCATGAACGAAAATTACATTTGAGGTGCCATGTTTGAATTGATGTAATGTGACAATAAAAAGGTCGTTGGCCGCGCTAAGGTACGAAATAACTTCGCCCCCTCAAGCAGTGTGTGAGCATGGATGTCTGTCCGTGTTTCTTCTGTTAATGCTGTCCTGTATATGTAGCGGCCTTGTGACGCATTGATCCCACGCCCAAGGAGTCCTACTGACTGTCTGCTATCTAAGTTATCCATGTAAGCAGGCCGTGGAGGCCCATAGGATTGCGAGACGTCGAGCTTCCCATATTTTCTGGATAATCGACGGTGAGGTTGTAAATCTTACGCGCCGTCCGCCCGCCCTTTAGCCTCAGGAAGATTCCTTGTACTCATTTCTGTTGGAGGCTGAGTCGACCCAGGGCCATAGTGCGGCTGGGAGTATTAGGTAAATTGAAGAATCCAGTGACCTTATCGGGAATCGGATCCCTGACCTTCCGGCTTGTGACATACTGCGTCAACTAAACTATAACAGAACGGGACAGCGCACTGCTACTGTTTCCGCGGAAAGCCAGTGTTCCAAGGAATACGCTGTCAGATATAAACCTATAAGCAATAAACTTAGATAAATCCAGAAATTCCAGCTCCATGTCGTGTAGGTCTTACTGTACCTGAGAACTACTAGTTTTAAGTGATGCCAAATTTGTCTGAATCTGTTGTTCTCTTAATAAAGCTATCACGTTTTTCGCAGGTTGGATAATGGTGAGCAACGAGATAGCGCAAGGGGTGTTAGGGCTCGCCATCAGTTTCTGGGGCGGCAAGGGCAACCGGCCAGGCTGGATTGCAACTTGTGCCACTTTCCAAGCCCTCACATGTTTCCTGTTGTTGCTGCCCCACCTTGCGCATGGGACCAGCCCGGCCAGCACCAAATCTGGAGGTATGTTTAGTGGTATACACGCATCCAGAGTAAAAGGTCCCTCAGCCTGACGCCGTGGACCCCGAATGTTTCTGCGGAACCGAGGGCAACGTGTACGGTTACATATTTGTTACTTCCGGCTGTGCGAAAGAAAAGTGACCCCAGTCTCTTCCATCCTCTACTTTCAAAAACAATTTAAGATTTTAATGAAAAATCTGTGGCTTCTTTCGTTTCCGTGTTTCGTAATAATTCAGTCTTCAATGCAGAAAAGTCTAAACGTTTATTTTAGAATTGATACAAGTTTCTTGTTGTAAGATTTGAGGTTTTTACAGCGGTGACTACGAAGAATGCCTTCTTCTGGGATATGGTGCCGTGTAGATATTGTGTGAACTGCCGTTTCGGAGGAACGTATCGCCTCCATCTTCAGGATAGAGAAATCCGCGAACGAGGAACCGGAGTGAGCAGTTGGCTGCAGCCAGTATACCAGTTAAAGTTTGAGGAATGCTGAAGAAGATTGGGGAAGTTGTGTTCTGTCAGGGAGGGTGCATTTCATTTGTTTACATCTCAAAGTTTGGCAAGTTGTGATCCCTATACATATATACATTGTTCTGGCTTCACATCCTGTGAAGTTACTCGGATGCTGTTTGTGACAATTTGCATGTTTAGGAGGGTCTTGTTAGGTTTTTGGCATTCACTGAAAAGTGGATTCTTCCGAATTTGACAAATTTTGGGTTGAGAGTGCAAAATTGAGCTTTATGACCAAAATTTTGACATCTGTAGCACTAGAATGGGCTACGCAGTCCGGTATAGTCTTCTATGTGTACTTTGAAGTAGAAGAGTCCTATCAGATGCCTTATGTTTCGTGTGTTCTGTTCCACTGTGTACGTGATGACGTACTGAGTTAAGAACAGGGAATTGCTCTGCTGTAGGTTTTCTTGGCATGTTTTTCGTCTAAGCCGTCTTACATGAATTACAGGATATTTTAGGCATTTTAATTCGCTGAGTGCAGTTTCTGCTATTATCTCAGAGGGTAATCCTCAAATGAGAATTTTGTATGCCTTATTTTCTGCTTTTTCATAAGTATAAGTATCTTCAAGTATCTTCCAACCTTGTAGTGTTGTTTTGATGGGAAGTGGAATCGAATTCCTTGTTGTATGTAAGTTGTTCATATGTCTGTGGTTCAAGATCTTTCAGAACGCTGAAGCAGTTGCTTTTTGATGTAATTGCAATTGGGGGAGGGGATTTTGTCTTTCCTTGCCTTGTAGTTAATATTTGTGATGCTGTGGGAATATGCGCGTCTTGTTCAGTCTGCAGAACCGAAAACGTATATTCAGATATAAAGTTCGGCGTGGTAGTTTATGTTTGAGATTTTACATGACATGGGGTGTGAAAAGGAGTCAGTTGATGCTGTACTCACTCGTTCCATGGGTATTCGCGGGTGGTAGAGATGTGTCCATGTTTCGCGTTTTTCTCTCTCCATTTTGGAGGTCCTGTAAATTTACAGAGATATTCGGCTAATGCCTTGGAGGTTTCGAAATTTCAGGCCTGTCTGTTGTATTCTTGTAGAGTTTATAGGATTAATCCGATGCGAGAAGGGCGGGTTATGAGTTCAAATGGCTGATTTCTTTCCGTGGTCTGTAGATTCAAATAAATACCAGTGTAAATTTTCACTCATCGTATTTTAATCGAATGCAGTGCGTTATATTCAGTGTCAATGTCGAAAGCGAGTCCACCCAAAAGCAGATCCATCAGCTGTGTGAACGCCTGAACTCTTTTACTGGACCAACAAAATTGTCCCTTTTAAGGAGCATCGTGATATCCTCTTCTTGTCGCCTACTGGTTCGCTCGGTGTTCGGGTAAGAGCCAATGAGTGCTGGCGGCTTCATTCTGCCCTACGGGCGAACCCACTGCTCTTCCTGTTTCCTCTATAATCCGAAATTTCGACAAACCGATTTCTCTGCTTGCCATTTGCTTTCACTCTGGCTTTATGCTCGGTTTATTCTTCGGGCCTGAAGCTATGTTCCTCCGAAACGCCTGTTGACTTTCAGCGGACTACACGGCGTTATCTCCCAGATGACAGAACTCTTCACTACTGTAGTAATTCAGTTAAAAAGTAAAGTAAATGTAAAGCTATCCATGTAACAGGCCGTGGTAAGGTTGTCAGCCTTACGTGCCGGCCGCGCTTTACTCCCCAGGAAAATTATTTAATTTCTGGTACTCATTTCTGTTAGAGGCTGAGTCGACCCCACGGCCATAGTGCGGCCGGAAGGATTAGATCAATTAAAAAAAAATCCAGTGACTTCATCGGGACTTAAACCCGCAACTTTCTGGCATATAGCATAATGCCTCAACCAACTACGCTACCGCGTGTCCCCAGTAATTCAGTTAGTCTCTAGTAAACTTATACTCATCACAGCGTTACGTGAACAGCTCGTCTGTTGCATTAACATCTCTGTGCCCGTGACTCAGCCCTTTAATTCCTATCTCTGTTAGTGGCCTCGGGACCGCCTCCGTGGTCCAGTGGTCAGAGTTCCTGCCTACAAATCCAGAGGTCTGAGTTCGATTGCCGGCGCTACCAGATTTTCTGAGAATTATTGGGTGTGGAGCGGAGTCCACTCAGCCTCGGGAGAATAATCGAGGAGCTATTTTAAGGAAAGAGAGACTCCGGTCTAGAAAACCGAGATTTACGGCCGTGAGGATTCGTAGCGCTGACCACGTGACACCCTCTGTCTGCTGAAGTTGGCACTAACTTCGCCGACAAGCGGCGGTCGCTCGGTCGGTATAGTTCGCTTCCGGACTACACGCCACGGAGTTTTTGTTGTTAGTGTCCTCGACAAAATCCACTGCGCATTCGGTTGGCGCCGGCAACGTCAGAAAAATGGGGCTGCGTACGTGAAGTAACTCAATGATCAGAGAATTCAGTGCCTAGTCTCTCTTCATCGCTAATGTCACTATGGGCACGGTTCATCCCTTTACTCACTGCGCATTCTGTTCTGGAAGTAGGACCTGCTGTGTACATGAAGTGACTTGATGTTGACAGAGTCAAGTGGAGAGCATCTCTGCTTGAGTAACGTCACTGTGCCTGAGCGTCAGTCACACGACGCTTACCATTTCACCCTGGTACTCATGTTCCTTCTTCAACTGGGCGCCGGGCTGGGCGGTATCTCAGTTCTGTCTCACGGGATGGTATACGTGGACGACAACGTGGAGAAGAGAGACAGCGCGGCCCTTATTGGTAAGTTCGCACACCGAAGGGGTTTTAGAATGGGCAGTAATGTCTCGGAATTTTGCTGCAGACAGACTGGAAACGTAATAATCAGGGTCCGGATTTTGATGACCTGAAAATATTTAAAAAATTACCTATAAAATGACCGAAAAATTCAGAAAAATGACCTAAAATATGACCCAAAAATGTAATATGCCGGGCCCGGATTTTGATGACCTGAAAATATTAAAAAAACGACCGAAAAAATCCATAAAAATGACCTAAAGGAGAAAAGAAAGAACACTTCGCTTCCATGTTATTCACATTTCAGAAAACATGTGAAGAAAAATTCCCTAAAATGGCCAAAAATGACAAGAAATACCATTAAAAGTCCAAAAATTTACCAAAAAATTACCCACAAAATGAAAAAATGACCGTAAACCTAAAAAGGTAAAAAAATGACAAAAATTACCTATAAAATTTACATAACATGTCATAAAAATCCGGGCCCTGGTAATAATAAGACTAAGAACTCACTCATGGAGCTGAGCCCTTCTTGAGGAGAAGCCAATTCTGCAGCTACCCAAGAATTTCCCAGCATTTTATGGAACCCGAAGGTTCATCACCGTGTTCACAAGAGCCCTCCACTGGTCCCTATCCTGAGGCAGATCTATCTAGTCCGTACCCTCCCATCCTATCTCTCTCCATTCTAATATTGTCCACCCACCAACGCCTTGGTCTTCCCAGTGGTCTCTTTCCATCTGGCTTTCCCACCAATATCCTATATGTATTCCTCTTCTTCCCTATTAGCGCTACATGCCCTGCCCACCTTATCCTCCTTGACTTGATTATTCTAATTACACTTGGAGAAGAGTACAAGTTCTGAAGCTCCTCATTATGCAGTTTTCTGAGTAATGAACTCTGATATAAAAGATTTCGTGGAGGTTCAGTGCTTTTGCGGTTCCTGTGTCTGGGGGGTGGTACAGTCTGTTTCCATCTTCAAGTCCAAGCTGCTACTCAGTGGTGCCTGCTGATACATAGTTCTTCTTCTCAGATTATGGGCCTGTAGGGAGAAATGCTGCCCATCACAGTGGCCGCGCGGTCTAAGGCATGAATTGTCACCGCCCGCTCGAACATTGAGATCGTGGGTTCGAATCCCACTCGAAACATCGATGTCTGTGTGTGTTCATTCTGTGTTTGTGTTGTTCTGTGTTTAGGTAGCGGCCTTGAAACGGACTGATATACCGTCCAAGGAGTCCTACCGTCTGTGTAAAGGATTAAGAAACTGAAAAAGGGGCCAAGGTTCAAAAGGCTGTACAGCCGAAGGGACAGAGAGATAGAGGGGCCGCGCCATAGCTCAAGCGGTTAGTCGCTGGCTTCCCATCGCGGCCCGTGTTCGATCCCGGGTCTGTTCAAGTGGGATTTGTGGTGGACAAAGTGTAGCTGGGGCAGGTTTTCTCTGAGTACTTCGGTTTCCCCTGCCAATCTTCATTCCACCAATTGCTCCACAATCACCCTCACCTATCATCTGGGGCTGGTACAATAGGCCAGAAGTGGCCGCGGTACAAGGGACTTAGTCCCACCCCACTGGCAATAAAAAAGTAACAGAGAAAGAAGGGGGAGGGAGGATTGCTAGGATGTTGGTGGCGGGACTTAATGTCCCGGTATTGTCTGATGGGTCTGTTGAAATCTCACGAAAAGCCTTAGTCAAGTTAGCCGGTCTTCGGGCCGAAATTTGAACCCCGGACCCGTGAATAGGAAGCAGGAGTAGTGCCCACTGCACCGAAAAGGTCGACGTGTAGGTTCGCCGGGGTGGGACAGAGCTGGAGTGGGGGATTAACTCCGTGGCTTTAGTCCGCAAGCGAACTATACCGACCAAGCAACCGCCGCTTGTCGGCGAAGTTAGTATCAACTTTAGCGGTTAGAGGGTGTCGCGTGGTGAGCACAACGGACATACATACCACTAAAAGGCAAGTAACCCAAATAAGGGCATGAAGAACAGCAAAAAGCCGTAACTATTGTTGCGAGTGTTATTAACATACATAATAAAGCGGCCTCCGTAGTCTAGAGGTAACATTCCCACCTCCTGACTCGTAGTACGCGGGTTCAAATACCCGGCGGAGGTCGTCGAATTTTTAAGGGCGGAAAAATTCAGGGAACAAGTCCTCCGGGAGGGACTTTAAGCCGTGGGTCCCGTGTCGTAGCTTTACGGCACGTAAAAGAACCTCCAAAGGAGGTCACTGAGCCAAATTACGGACGTTTCCCGCCCAACAGCAGTCTCTAATACCTCTGGTAGATGGGGGAAGCATTATAGATACCTCTCAGCTAGTAGAGCCGGTCTCGCTGGCTGATGGTAAGCACCAGTACCGGTAGGATATAGAGACTAGTAGAATATCATAGAGGGAAGCACAATAGATCAAACTGGTCGCGGTGCATGGGGAAACCCACCCTCTCTAACTAACTAACTAACTAACTAACTAACATATTTAATAATGTCACTTCAAGAAAATAATTATTTTGAAAATATGAATGTGTGTGCAGGCAGCATGTGCCACAGAGGCGCATATGGCTCACGGGTTAGGCTTTGCGTGACGGAGGACACTAAAGGCTGACTTCCCTGATTACCAGTATGTCTGTTTGTTTGTAAAGAGACTAATGACAAATGCGCCGGACACGGTAGTCGAGCCGTCTAGGGTATGCATTGTCTTCGCTCGCTCGGAAGCCGGGATCGTGGGTTCGAATCCCACTCAATGCATGGATGTTTAGTGTCTGTGTGTGTGCACAGGTAAAGGCCTTGCGACGAGCTGATCACCCGCCCAAGGAGTCCTACCGAATGTCTAAGATCTAGTAAACCGACGTGAAACGGAGAATTTCATGGAGGTGGGCCAATACCCAAATTGAGACTGTAGCGCCAGAAGGAAAAAATGACAAATACAGCATCAAGGAATCGTCGTCCTAGCTGTAGTGTTTGGAAGATTCAATCTAACCAATATGTCACCCTTTATATTATCGCAAGTAAAAGTAAGTAAGTAAAGGTATCCCTGTAACAGGCCGTGAAGGCCCATAGGGTTGTGAGACGTTGAAGGTCCCACATTATCTAGACAATCAGCTGAAAGATGGCGGTAAGGTTGTCAGCCTTAGGCGCCGGCCGCGTTTATTCGCCAGGAAAACTATTTAATTAATTCCTGGTACTCATCAAGTGCCAATATTAAAATTAAATTCTTTATTATTTATTTGCCGAGTCAAAAATTCCAAGGCCTATTACAGAAACAGTACGTGTAAATACTGGCAGTCATATCAAGGCAAACAAAAACATATTTGCTAACCAGCAGTAAATATTAGTGTTCCCATCTTACCTTAGAAACATAAACACATTAAAATAGCAAAGGTTACCAATAAACAATAAAGTCGCTTCAGAGAAACGGACAAAAGTGTTTGGGCGAAAATGGTTTGAGTTGAAATGTACCGATGTATTTACCCGCCACGTTAGCATGATGGGCGCACCTAGCAGAAAGAGAAGTTTTAACAGAGGTACAAGCAATAAACATGAAGAAAGCTCTAACGTATAGAGTGGAGACACTAAGACTAACATTGTCCTGTACGGTAAGATAAGTTTGTCCTTGTGCTTCTTTAATTTAGCGCCACGCCATGAAGACTGGTGGGAGAGTGGCAGTATAGCTCCACCATTCTTGACTTCGGCACTAGGTGGAGGTGAGTGGTCAGCTTTACACCCTGGCTGCTTTATCCAAGGGAAAGAATCCCCGGTATCCATTGGATAGGTGGGGCCCAGTGTTAGCCTGAATACTATGGAGAATAGTGAAGTCTTTTCCTGCTTGGAATCGCACCCAGGCCGTCCAGCTTGTGGGCAGTAGCTATACCGATTGTAATATTCCGACTCTCCATTTTCCAATGATGGTAATATTAATAACATTACTGTGCCATGCATTAATATAAAGCTGCTCGGTTTTTAATGTTGTATTTTAGCGTCCTGTTGCACTGATTTTCATCCATGATATGCGTGCCCTGATGATGGCACTATAATGCCGAAACATGTCGTGAAGTAACAGGTGAAACTGAGTGCACTACAAGACGGCCACTGTGTACATATCATGGATGACTGCTCGGCTTTGGCAGTGAGCATCCAGCTGCCAAATTGACAAGCGGAAGCCACTTACACAAACTTCCGCCAGAGTCTATTGCAATTGGAATATAGTTGAAATATCGCATTGCTGCAATTTAAATCACGTGAAAATGTTCCCTAAGGTTACGCGTCTTTATGGAAGAATTTATGAAGATCGTTTCTTGGAAATTACAAAATCGGTTATTAGATCTGAGGTTCTCACGGCCATGACTATGAAGATTATTACCCTCTGGGATGTAACGCCGTGTAGTTTGGTAGATATGCACTGAAGTTTCGGAGGAACCTGCTGTCTCTATAAGAAGATGGTCAGCAGGTTCCTACAAAATGTTACTTCCTGTATACGAAACTGCAATTCAATTACTTGAACCTTTCAGCTTAAATATAGACCAAAGCTTAAAAAAGCTTACGAATGTTGGAGTTAGCTTTCTGATGCGGTCTGTCCCTCACTGGACAAGATATTTAGTTCTTGAAGATACACTGTGGTACAAGCCTGGAGGTCGCTGGTTCGAGCCCCGATAAAATTGATTCTTTCAATTTATCTAATCCTTCCAGCCCCATTATGGCCCTGAGGTTGACTCAGTCTCTACAGAAATGAGTATCAGGAATCTTTCTGGGGGGTAAAGGGTGGCCGGGGCGTAAGGCTGTCAGTCTTACCGCCATCTGTGAGCAGACTGTCTAGAGCAAATGTGGGAGCCTCGACGTCTCACAGCCAATGGGCCTTCACGGCCTGTTACAGGATAGTTTTACAAACCCATTGTTGCCCAGTTAAACACTCCGCAGATATGATACATATAATTTATTTCATTTTTATTTCCTTAAACAAGCAGTTGCATCATACCGAGAAATGAAAGTTGTAGAGCTTCATTCATTCATCAGTAATCTGTCAAGACGACAGGTCCACAGTCTCTTCCAAAACAGTTCCTCCACTTGATGCAATCTAGAGCTTTCTCCTTCAAATGAAAATATCCTCTTCTGTCCCCAAGGTCATCCAGCATCTTCTTACGTCTTCTTCCTCGTCTTCTGGTCACTTGTATCCGCCCCTCTATCTTTCCTTCAATAACTTCTTTTAGAAGGCAGTTACCGCGTAAGATATGACCAATCCAATTAGCCTTCCGTTTTCTTATTTCGTGTAGGATATTCTTCTGCTCACTGACTCTAAATAACACTTCTTCATTTCTCACATAATCTGTCCAACTGATCTTCTCCATCCTTCTCCAACACCACATTTCAAAGCTTTCCAGGTGTTTCTGATCTACTGCCCTAAGTGTCCAAGTTTTATTAACGAGTTCTATATTTTGATTCTATTAGACTGCCAAAGAGCCGCCTGTGGGAAGAAATTGCAGTTACATTTGAGCTCGGAATTTATAGCAATATTGAACTAGTGTCAACTGAACTTAAACTTGCTTCACACTTTTCACTGTAGACTCAGGATACCAAATTTTATTGAAATCAATTCGTTATATTTGGAGTTGAAATATATTTAGTCCTACACAACATCAATGTTGTGTATATTAATGTAAAATTAATTATTATCATTGTACAAGTAATTCATAAATCATTTGAAACGGATTCATGTTCATGTTCTGCAAGAGAGATACGAATTTTTAAAAAATCTAGGAATCGTTTTAAGACAAGTGTTTGTTTTGCAGGAGAGGTCATCGCCCTCAGGCACTTGGGCCCGTATATGGGATTGCTGTTGGCGTGGCGGTGTCTGTCCATATATTCCGGGCCCCTGGACGTGGAGCCAAAACAGACCAGCTCTGAATGGGTGGGGGCCTGGTGGTTAGGTGAGGAATGCCAGGGTCGGGGAAACAAACAGATAAACAACTATTCAATTGAAGAAAGCAGTCTTCTGGGATGTGGCGCCGTGTAGATATTGCGTTACCCGATGTTTCGGAGGAACGTCGGCTAACACCACATCTACACGGCGCCACATCCCAGAAGACTGCTTTCTTCATAATAACCGCCATGAAAATCTCAAATCTTACAACTATTCAAGTTTTTATTTGAAAACTTGGGGATATACTTTCTTTAAGTCGACCAGTTAGGTGTCTTTAATTTATTATAGCCATGTTATGGATAGTGTTACCTTCTATGCTTTATATAATTGACGTTTCATTAGGCCTAATATTGGTGTAACTCATCGTAAAATGAAAAGCAAAATATTTCCATTAACATAGTGTCACGTGTATGCATGTGACTATAGACGGGGTTTGGATTGGTAATTGGATTTAATGGCCGCTTATAACACAGCTCGTAACTACAAGTAACTGTAACAGCCTCAATTGTTTACGCACTCACTAGTGTTCTCAATCTCTTACAATCTCCACTAGCCGTTGCCTGATAACGGATTTTACGATGCAGATTCATCTTCCGTGATCACGTCCTTGCCGGCTGGAAAATATCGCACAACTGAACTAAGCTCAAAATCAGAGTCCGAGTTATTTTACGACTGGCGGTTTACCGTCCATCAGTTCATCTTGGCGTCAAACCTCGTGACGCTTACAACAAGAGTTTTTTTTAATTGAACCCTTGCGGTCACAGTCCTTATGTAACATCACCTCTGATGAGAAAATTGGTTTGTCTCTTAGAGTATGCTTGGCCTTTTGTCGAGTGTATGTTTCGCTCATATAGCATGTTATTAACAATTTTTTCTCGTGCACTATACTCGTATAAAAGTCCTTTGTCAGTCCAGGCTTTGCAGAGCATATCATGGCTTTCTTACGCATCTTATGCTACAACTACAGCTTTGTCATTTGAATGGCCGTAAACTTGACCACCGCCCATAAACTTTGTCCCGCTTGTCATCTCTCAGCACGGACCGTTTAGAAAACACCGCTCCTCATTCTGGTATCCATTGTTGCATGCGCAGCCATCGGCGCGGACTCCGCAGGAAATATTACATTTCAGCCAGTCCATTGGTGCACATGCCACTGTCTAGCAACGGGTCTATACTCCACAATACGCGTAGTTATTACGTAGTTCTATAAAGAAAATTTGCTAATCAAATTAAATTATATGTATTACATATAAATTAAATTTCAAGGAAGTAATATAAATTAGAAGGGAAAACCAATATTAGTACTGAAGTAGACATGATAATACAAATAAAGAACAAGGTGTTGTAATAAAATCTTATAATGTTCGCTTTCCTTGAAACGCTTCGGTCTAGGGCTGGAAAGGGCTATAGATTGATAGGTATCAAATTTGGTTTTCTACTTCTGCCCACATCTCCCCTTGTGCAAATTTCTGTCTTATAAAATAAGAAGACTAGGTGAAAGGTTCGCTTATGACTGATGACATGACACGCAAGATCTATCTCGCCCTTTGACACCTCCCTACATTAGATCTTAAGAAACATTTTTATTATTGTGCAATTCCTTCTTTCAGGTTGGCCTATATTATCTACATTAATATTTCTGGTAGCCATCTTGATCTCCATGTTCCCAACTCAGCTGCCGTCACAGGCCGTGAAAGAAATGGCGGCGTCCATTGTAGACTTGGCGCGCGGTGTCAGAATACAGGAACCGACTGATCCCAAGGAATCGAGCACAGGTTTGTGGTTTTGACCACGTTCTCTGTTCGTGGTACTGATGCATATTCTTCTTCTTCTTCTTCTTATTATTATTATTATTAATATTATCCTCTCTGAATATCTATCATTTTCACTTCTCAATTAAATATTTATACGTTTAATTTCTCAGTTCTCAATAATAACTTAGATTTATGTTAATGAAATTATTATTATTATTATTATTATTATCATTTGTTTGTTTGTTTGTTTACTTATCTGCATTATTGTGTTTTTCCTCCAGTGCTTGCCTGTAATTTGTCTTTGACTTAATGTTGTGTTTGTCCAGCATGTAACTACTTCTATCTACTCTGTGCTGTGTCTGTAATTGGCCTTGCGGCTGTTGACTCGGCATATAAATAATAAATAATTGAATTGAATTATATCCTTACTGAGTAATTTTTCTAAAATATTCGAATTTATTGTTCATGATCATGTTTCCCACTATCTAAAATAAAAATTTAGTCCTTATCAGCACGGCTTCTCGAAAACTAAATCCATAAGCACCAATTTGGTGACTTACGTTGATTTTATCTCCCCTATAGTTGGCTCTCAGAGAAAAGGTGATGCCATTTATTTTGATCTCAGCAATGCATTCGACCTTGTTCCACATTCTCTTCTTCATAAGCTTAGTGCTATTGGGCTTTCTGGTGGTTATGTAAGCTGGTTTCGCAGTTACCTGTCCAACCGGAAATCCCAGGTCCGTGTTTCTGGTGTTCTTTCCTCACCTTTTGAAGTTCTCTCCGGTGTTCCTCAGAGATCTGTCTTGGTACCCCTTCTCTTCAATGTGTTTATTAACGCAATGTGTGATGCAGTTGCCCATTCTAAGTGTCTGCTTTTTGCTGATGACGTCAAAATTTACCAAGCCATTAGTTCTCCTCAGGACTGCTATTTACTTCAGTCTGACATTAACTCTATACAAGGTTGGTGCATTGCTAACTGTATGAAACTCAGCATCAGTAAAACTAAAATTATATCTTTCTCCAGGAAAACCGATTCTATATAAGACTTGGAAGTGTTTATTGATGCTAAGCTATATTTCCATGACCAGGCCAATTACATTTTCTCTCATTGTGTTAAACTCTTGGGTCTAGTTCGTGATATTACCTTCAATTTCTCATCTCTATAGACTGTATGCTCAGATTGTACACTGCATTGGTTACATCTAAGCTTGAATATGCGTCCATAGTCTGGAATTCGATTGTGCCAACTGATGCCAACAAGCGGGAACGCATCCAGAAGAGGTTTGCGGCTCTTTGTTTTAATCGTTTCTATCCTCAGGTCCATTGCAGTTATTCTCTTGCTCTGAAGGAGTTAAAATTGCTTACTTTACGTACTAGAAGACATCGCCTTGTGCTCTCTCATATTCAAGTTTATTTTGGATAGAAATTCTGCCCTTCTGTCCTGGAAATTGTTGGTCTCTGAGTTCCTGCTCCGTATAACAAGACTTTGCTTTGTTCAGTGTGTGCGCTTGATCTAAAAATTGTCCCTCTGCTAGATGTGCAGCAGCTGCTAATGTTGCTTGCGGTGATGTTGACGTATTCGGAGCCAGGAAAGTTCCCCCAAACGATTTGTAAATATAGTATAATTGTTAGTATTATTATTTGCATGTACAATAAACAACAATTAAACTGAATTATTATTATTATTATTATCATCTTCTCTGAAAATCTATACTTTTATTTTCTCAATTAAATATTTATACGTTTCATTTATCAATTCTCAATAATACTTAGATTTATGTTAATGAAATTATTATCATTTGTTTGTTTGTTTACTTGACTGCATTATTGATTTATGTTAATGAAATTATTATTGTTGTTGTTTGTTTGTTTGTTTGTTTGTTTGTTTGTTTCCTTGTCTGCATTATTTTGTTTTTCTCCCGTGCTTGCCTGTAATTTGTCTTTGACTTTATGTAGTGTTTGTCCATAATGCAATTAGTTGTATCTACACTGTGCTGCGTCTGTAATTGGGCTTGCAGCTGTTGACTCGGCACGTAAATAATAAAGAACTGAATTGAATTGAATTATCATCATCCTCCTCCTATTCTTAATTCTGTTTCTTATTCTTCTTCTCATCTTGTTATTTTATTATCCTTTTCTTCTTCTTTTCGTCTGCCTTGAGTCCTTTTATTTTCTTCGTTGTCTGTTATTGTCTGTCCTGTCGTCGATCTTCTTTACTTTTTTTATTGCCCTCGTTCTACTTTCTTCGTTTTCCATTTTATGATCCCTGCCTTCTCTTTGCAAGTTGGCTTCCTCTTGTTCTCATACAATATCTCTGTGACTTCTTCTTATTTTACATTTGTGTCTTCTCTTCGTTTTCTCTTCTTGTCTCTTATTTCTTCTTTTATGTTAGCTTCCTTTCCCATTCATGTTCATTTTTTCTACCTCTTCTCTTACATTTCTTCTTATTTCTCTTATTCAACTTTTTTCTTTATTGTCCTTTTCCTCATAGTAATGTTGTTCTTTGTCTTCATCGTGCTCACTTGCAGTGCACCTCAATACGTGTACCTCTACCGAAACATAAGTACGTGTATATACTAAATACATGCCTCTCAGACAGCGGGATATGCTAAGGATAGAACCGCAAACTTAATGGAGCTGCCCGTACAGGATTCTTGTGGTCGCTACGAAGACTCCTCACCAATAGGATCATCGTTCTCAACACTCTGGCTACCGTATGCCTGCAGACGGCCATGTCCAACTATTTGGCCCTCGAGGACAAGTACCTGGAGTCCAAGTTTTACATCCCAAAACCTTCAGAGGCTGCCGGTGGATTCCAGGACCCGTGGACCTCAAGGCTGATTATAAGTAAGTTTTCTTCACTCTATGGGTGTGAAACTTGGTCTCTGACATTAAGGGAGGAACATAGACTGAGGGTGTTTGAGAACAGAGTGTTGAGGAGAGAAATTTGGACCAAAGAGAGATGAAGAGACAGGAGGTTGGAGAAAACTGCATAATGAGGAGCTGCATAACTTGTACTTTTCTCCAAGTATAATTAAGAAGATCAAGTCATGGAGGATGAAGTTGGCAGGGCATGTAACACGAATTGGGGAGAAGAGGAATGCACTTAGGATATTGGTGGGAAAGCCAGAAGGAAAGAGACCACTGGGAAGACCAAGGCGTAGGTGGGTAGACAATATTAAAATGGATCTTAGAGAGATAGGATGGGATGGTGTCGATTGGATTGATCAGGCTCAGGATAGGAACCGGTGGAGGGCTCTTGTGAACAAGGTAATGAACCTTCGGTTTCCATAAAATGCTGGGAAATTCTTGAGTAGCTGCAGATTTGGCTTATCCTCAAGAAGGACTCATCTCCATAAGTAAGTAAGTAAGTAAGTTAGTTTTCTTCTCTCAGACAAATTTGCCAACAGGCCCTCCTCTTTGACAGTGTGTCTTTTAGAGGTCCATAAGGTAGGTGTCTGGAGCCGGGATAGCTCCGTAGGTACAACGACTGGCTACGGGCTGGATGAGCGAGTGGTCGGAGTTCGAGTCCCGGTGGGTTCAAGGATTTTCTCTTCTTCACGTCGTCCAGACCGCCTCTGCGTTTCGCCCAACATCCTATCCAATGGGTACCGGGGGCTCTTTCCCCGGGGACAAAGCGACCAGGGATTCATCCGACCATTCAGCTTCACTTACTGCCGAGGTCAAGAAAAATATGACTCCATACATCCACTCCGCCATACGCCTTCGTGGCGTAGTGCTTAATTAGTTAAGCACAAGGAAAACTTTACTTTAAGAATACGTTGATCTATAGCTCCACTTCCTTATACTTCTTAATGGCATAGTGCTTAATTAATTAAGCATGGAGACAACTTCACATTTTACGATCTCAAGTACGGGTCTGTTGCGAAACCTCCTCAGTGTTTGGATTTACTTTGGTTCTTGAAGTAGCCTCCATCCTTCCAAATAACTCAAGCTCTGAGATATCTGTTCAGTTTGTCTTCCGAAAAATGTAAATAACCGCCAAACTTTGAAATCATTTAGGAATATCACACAAGTACGCTGCAAAGAACATGTGTCTCTGGTGCACTGTTCATATAGACACAAACTACCCTGCATTTTTTTTGTTTCATTACTGACTTTGTCGTGGCGCAGGTCTGCTGAAACCTCCGCTTGTGGCGCTGCATATTTTGGTGTCGGGGCTCGCTATCTCGAAGATCAAAATGCGAGCTGGACGTTTGACAGGTTTGCACACCTTCATAGCGCTGTCAACGGCCATCTTCATGTTCTCCAGGATCTTCGCCGATTGCCATTCGCTCCACATCGAAGGGGAGAGTGAAGGAAGGTAGCGCTCAACACATTTGCTTACTGCAGCAGAACGGCAAAAATGAATTCGTCGTGTGTAGATGAAACATGCGCTTCTTCATTTTCATACAGAGTAAATTGGCCCCAGTCGCCGGCTTTCCATTGCGAGTTCGATCCCAGTCAGGAACATGTGGGATTTATGGTGGGTAAAATGGCACTGGAAGCCGGTCACGGTAGCCGAGTGTCTAAGGCGTGCACTGTCTTCGCTCGCTCGGAAGCCGGAATCGTGGGTTCGAATCTCACTCAGGGCATGGATGTTTAGTTTGTGTGTGTGTGTTTTTTTCTGTTTCTATGTACAGGTAGAGGCCGTGCGACGAGCTCATCACCCGCCCAAGGAGTCCTACCCTATGTCTAAGATCTAGAAATACCGAAGTGAACGGAGAAGTTCATGGAGATAGGCCTAGGCCCACTGGGGCTGTAGTGCCAAGGGGGGGGAAAAATGGCACTAGGACAGAGTTTCTCCAAGTACTTCGGTTTCCTTGCCATTCCTCCTTTCACCAAATGCTCCATATTCATTCATCATCTGAGACTAGTGCAATGGGCCAATTGTGGCCGACTTACCAATTGGACTCAGTCTCACCACACACAACGAAATTAAAATAAAATTTGGCATCAGCGTCTACGAATATTCGGGAGATGGCCGGTTCGAATCTCTGCCATATACCGTCTATCTTGACATGTTTTACGTGATTTCCTCAGTCCCTCCACACAAATGTTCCCATCCTGCCTGTAACAGGGCATCGACCCTTTCCAAATCATTGTTTCCTTTTATTGCTAGTGGGGTGGGACTAAGTCCCTTGTACTGCGGCCACTTCTGGCCTATTGCACCAACCCCAGATGATAGGTGAGAGTGATTGTGGAGCAATTGGTGGAATGAAGATTGGCAAGGGAAACCGAAGTACTCGGAGAAAACCTGCCCCAGCGCCACTTTGTCCACCACAAATCCCACTTGACCAGACCCGGGATTGAACCCGGGCCGCCACGGTGAGAAGCCAGCGATTAACCGCTTGAGCTATGGCGCGGTGAAATCATTGCTAACTAATCGTCATACAATTCGACGCCATAGAGTCTGAAATATTGGCCATAAACCATAAAAGTAAAAACAAATTCAATGTAAGCAGGTCAGTTCATTGGTAAAATTTGCGTACAGTTAATAAATCTCTGTACGGTATATGCTGCTTCTTTTTCAGTAAGTGCACTTGGTGCCAGACATCCTCGAAACCTATAGGTCAATATAAGAAGTCTCAATAACAAATTCCTTAGCGAAAATAAGTCATAAACAACAACTGTGAAGTTACATATTGCACAAATTTGTTGGCTCTTTTCTATTCCCCAGACTACAGCTCCTGCAGACATGCAACAGGCAGTGCGGCTGTGCTGACTCGCCCGATTTCTCCCCCGTGTGTTCCCAGGAGGGCAGCTTCTTGTTCTACTCGTCCTGCCACGCTGGTTGCAAACGAGTGCAATATTTAGACGACGTTAAGGTAAAGAACTTCAGTTTACTGGTGGCTGATCTCTTGAGAATGGGCGCGTAAACAAAGACGTGCAAATCAAACACAAATTTCCCGTAAGAAATAAAGGAAATAGTCAGGGTTGGGGGCAGTACTGCGTCACTACTCATTCCAACACCTTTTTTCTTGGCTGGGTTCTTTCCAAAAACAGAGATACCATGTATGCGAGATGTTTCTCTGGAGACAAAACAAACCGGAAGGGCGGATAGAAGTGACGAGAAGACGAGGAAGAAGACGTAAGAAGATGCTGGATGACATTGGAGACAGAAGAGGATATTTTTATTTTAAGGAGAAAGCTTGAGATCGAATTAAGTGGAGGAACTGTTTTGGAAGAGACTGTGGACCTGTCATCTGGCAGATTACTGACGAATGATTTAGAATATTTTTCTTACCTGTTACTGATAATAATAAATAAAATAACGTGCCCATCTCAAATAAAATAATTTTATATATTAAAATTTTTGTAACACTAAATTAAACGCTGCCTGAGCTGTCCTACAGGTGGTGATGGTGGTATTCGGTAGGTAGGAGTTTCTGGGGAAGGGGTCGTCTGGATCAGGTGACCCAGTAGGCGACGATGTTGGAGACGCAAGAGGTGAAGATGCCCTGTCAATTACGGGCAGCTGTTTGGCCTTCGAGTTGTCCGAAGTAGACCGTTGAGGTTCGGGTGGTGTAATGCTTTACTTTCCTGCCCCTTGCATCTTCCCGCATACGACTAAAAGTGTGGAGCATGTTGTGGTTCTTAGACACAGGGACATCAAGTATTGTTTTTTACAGTTGTTTGCGAATTGCAGCTGCGTTCAGGATGCGCTGGGCAACGAGAAGCTTCACCAAGCTAAAGGGGGCCCGTGCAATGACCCAGACTGCAACTTCAGCTGGATTCTGAACCAGTGCTTCACTGTGCTTACAGCCGCCATGGTGGGTACGCGTCTGGTGGGAAATGCCATCTTGACTTTCAGGTACTGCTACAGAAATTCAGTTCACTTCTTATTCGGGTAACTTAACAGCTCGAATACCAGTTAAAACTAAAAGTAAAGCTATCCCTGTAACAGGCCATGAAGGCCCATAGAGTTGTGAGACGTTGAGGGTCCCACATTATCTAGACAATCGGCTCACAGATGGCGGTAAGGTTGTCAGCCTTACGCGCCGGCCGCGCTTTACTCCCCAAGAAAATTATTTAATTAATTCCTGGTACTCATTTCTGTTAGAGGCTGAGTCGACCCCAGGGGCATAGTGCGGCTGGAAGGATTAGGTCAATTGAAAAAAATCCAATGACCTCATCAGGACTTGAACCCGCGACCTTCCGGCTTGTAGCATAGCCCCTCAACCAACTACGCTACAGGTCGAACACCAGTTACGAAGTGAATATGAGTAAAGAAATTAAACAAAACACAAAGGCAAGGAACTTTTTATTCCTTGTGTTGAGGATCAAATTTGGGATTGAAAATTTAAGTCATTACCTAGGTGCCTGGAGACTTGCGAAAAGTGTTTTGCAGTGAAAGAGCAAAGATGACAACACATGGACACGCAATGAGGTTAAGAATGCGATAATCAGCATTCATGCGTAATACCGTATGCAAGACGCTCCGCTAACTAGGCCACTGGAGATGGTCATATGAGTAAATACGCAGCGATCAGACGCCCGGGGGGG